TTTCATCTCAGACAAGTGGAAGCCATTCCTAAAGGTGGACTTAGGGAGGGAAGTGGCCTTTTACTTGCAGGAAATAAGCAAGCAGCAGATTTTAGTGCCCAGAATCTAGGCTCGATTTATAAACATCCACCAAAAACCTCCTTGGCAGCAAATCCGGAAACCCTGTCTCAGCACCATGATGGGCTTCTTTGTCTCATGGTCTAATCATGCTCATTGTCTGCCCAGCTGTTTCCCATCTCCGTGCACGTCCCTACTCGGATAATCAGTTTGATGTGTTTCTTCTCTTTCCGCTCACCTCACCTCTTCATCCCTTGCTTGTCCTTGCAAAGTGGAAGTCAGTGGCGTCTTAATTCACTCGGAACAGCTCCCAGGACCTGGTACTGGTGAGCATGATTCAGTATCTGAGAGGAAGCCAGGAGAGGCACTAAACTTACTTCAGACGCCCCATTGCTGATGCTGAATGTCCTGATCAGGCTCCTGAGGAGGTTGTGTTTAAAACCCTTCGGTCATGATAATGATGTTGATGACTGAGATCTCTTGTTGATGTCAGAATTAAAGAGATTTTAGAGATGATATAATCCCCTCACTGCTGATTACAAATTCTCACTTGCCTTCTTCTCCCAGAAGAGAACGGGGCATTTCTTTTTCTCCTTTAAAGCTAAGTTTTCCCTCTTTTTCTCCCAGCATCTTTCTCAGAACTAATATTAAGCAGAAAAAAGAAAGCCGTGTGCAGAGCCCTGCCCTTAAGTGGAGTCACTTTTTTCTCCTGGGACCCTGAAACATCTCCTGTAATCCTTGGTCTCCAAGGAACCCATTCATTTACACACCACTAACTTAGTCTTAATTTCTGCAGTTGAGGAAATGCAGACCAAAGAGATCCTTTGCTTGAGAGGTAGAAGTCCAGGTTATTTCAGTAATTTCATCAGTCACTCCATGATCCTATGCTTTTTGTTTATTTGTTTGTTCTTTGGTTTTTTTTTTTTCTGGTGGGGGGAGTTAATTAGGTTTATTTATTTATCTCTCTCTTTTTCTTAATGGAGGTACTGGGGAGTGAACCTAGGACCTTGTACATGCTAAGCACACACTCTACCACTGAGCTATACCCTCCTCCCCATGCTTATTAAAGACTTTTATCAGGAAAGTGGTGGGAAGTAGGTAATCCTAAGAGTTTAAAAGACGAAGGATCTATTGGGAAATGCAAATTAAAACAACAATTAAATGTCACTACACACTAGAATGGCTAAAATAAAAAGACCAATAATACCAAGTGTCGATGATAAAACTGGGTCCATATTCCTACCTGGCGACAATTACCTGGAGTTGTGTAGTAGCTGTTCCTTTACATGAGCCATATACTTTGGTTTCCCACAGTCTCAGCCACTCTCTGTAGCCTTTTCTATTTTCTGTAGTCACATTAAGAGAAGAGTTAATTCATTTTTGAGGGCTCACTATGTGTCAGGCACTATTCCAGGGCATGAAGATACAGAGGGGAACCAAACAGACAAAATCTCTATAAACTCATAGTGAATGGTGAGTACCATCTACATCATCAAAAATTAGAGGGAGAAAGTTAGACCAAGAGTGCTCTGTATTTTGGGAAAAGTGGGAGAAAGCATGTTTCTTTGTGGAAGTTAAAAACAAAATTCCTATGAATTTAAGTAATAGGTAAAAGTGTGTCTGTATCAAAATTATCCTGCCTCTTTCCCTTGTTTCCCTCAGATAATGAATCAGATACTTTTTCCCTTTACGATTCGATAAATTCATGGATTTTCCCAAGAGATGGACTCCAGTAAAATCATGGAGGTTATCTGAGCATTTCAGAAAGTGCCAGTAGGCAGAGCAGCTGGCACAGGCTCTAGTGGGCAGCTTGGCACAGACTCTGCTGAATGTTAGTTTTTTTACGTCTGTCTAAATTATCCCCAGCTCAGCTTTGGATTTTTCCATTTACTCAAGATCTAGAGATGCAACTCAATCTAAAGGAAGCATTGAGGTCTTATAGCCGCCTTCTGTAATCCCGGTACTCTGTTTAGCTGTGGCTGGGAATCTCGTCACCCTGATCTGTGTGGTGGCCGAGGACCTGTGGTGAAGTATCTCGAGTCGTGCTATGTCCCCCACCTTGAGTTTACACTCCATTTGGTCAACTGCACGGTGATAGCGGCTGACATCTTTAAACTGACAAATCCTGTCCGACTTGAGTTTGATCTCATGATCAAGAAGCCGTGGTTTAAATGCTTCTCACCTACAGATAAGCCCTTTTATGGGCATAGATTCCTAAGGACATGATTCTGTCTGCAAGAGGCACAGTGCCTCGAGGCATTTACCTTGCCTTTAGGTTTGTGTTGGTCATAGGCTTTGAGGCTCTGGACTGGCTCTTCTCCACTGGTTGTGCTTGACCGGATCATGTGGGAGGCTCCTGACCTGTTTCTTCCGCCCCATCTGGGAAGATCTTCTTGCTGCCTGGCCAAGAAAGCTCCACTGCTCCCATCTGGTGACAATTATCTCGAATTGCCGCATCACCAAGCTGCTTTTGAGAGGACTGCCGTGTCCTGTAGTGGTGCTGTGCACCACAGAACGGTAGGAAACAGTCACCCCCAGCTTCCGTTCTGCAGCACTGTCAGGTGTCTCCATATTATCTAAATGAGTATTGTGCAGTTTTCTCTAAGATACGTGAAGTGGGAAGAACATTTTTTAGACAATCAGGATGGTGACACTGGTCCAGGTTCTGCCTATAACTGGCCATGGGATCCTCAGCCTCACTTGGTTCCTCCACCCATAAAGCAAAATGCTTGGACTTAGCACTTCCTAGGAACACTACTGGTGCAAAGTCTGTAGTTCTGTGATTTTTTTTTTAATTCAAAATATCTATAAAATGAATACCCACTTGGATTGTTCACAAAGCAATTATGACTATACATGGGAATTTTGTAATTTGTAGTATCATTTCCCCCAATTTTAATCGCTTATAAGATGCATCATGAATTTAATAGCTTTTTGTGGGGAGCGGGGAAAGAAGACAAATATTACTGCATTAAATGTGCATATTTATTACAAGAAAAATTCTGATAGCCTAAAAATTAAAGTGTAAAAAATTAAAGTGCATCTTAGAATTGAGGGTTTTTTTTTTAATGTGCGGTTAGACCTCTACCTGTCAATGCGTGCTAGAGTTTTAAAAATCTTTTTTAGTAAATATTCAAAATTCTAGAATTAAATGGACAATTGAGCGATGTGAGTAGACTTTAAAGTATTACAAGAAAATGGAAAATGATACTGAGGTACAATGATTAGAGAGATGACAGCTGAAATTTAAGATTGTATGGTAAACTTTGTGTGCATCTGGGTACTGAAGAGGACACTGACAGGAAATATACAAACATGCAGGCTCTGGTAAATCATTGGCAACACGCACATTTGGAACATTTGAGCTCATTTAAAAAATTCTTTTTAACACAGAATTATGTGTGTATTTTATGAAAACATGCAACAGTGCTTTATGATTAAAGCTCTCTCTGATTGCAAGGGACAGAATCCTACTCAAGCTGATTGGAAAAAGAACAGGTATTGTAAAGATACAACAGGAAATCCATGAACATCAACAGACAGGTACCGAAGTGCTGCTGGCTTGCAGAGGATTTAGAGAGGAATGGTTGCGACCCAAGTCTTCTATCCCAGACCTCTGGCTTCTGTAATCACTGCTGGTTGCTGTGTATCAATGTTGCATGTGGATACTAGCCCCACTACTACGCCATCACCTCTGCTCAGGTTTCCGTACTGATGACTTCTCTCAGTGTTTAGCTCCATCCGATTAATCATCGCCTCCATGCAGAGAATAGCCTAGCGATTTTTTTTCTCCACCCAAGGTCAATGTGCAAGATAGCTGAAGCTAAATTATGCAGGTGTAATGAGCAGGCAAATGGATTGAGTATCTGATCTAACTGCTACTTATCCCAAAGCCTTCAACTTTGATGATTTTGCCACACCTTCTCTCTCTAACCCCTCTTAACAATGGCACTGAACATCTATTACAGTGTTTGGAGAGTGAGGTTGAGGCTAGGAGTTCTAAGAATTCGTGGAATGCTAAGGTGTTGCAAATTCAGAGCATTGAAGAATTTCTGATAGAGTTCTAGAAACTTCTTTTAATGAATCTTAACTATTTTTGAGAGAAAGGTTAGTGTGAACATTAAAAAATGTGCCCAGTAATCTTCATACTTGGCTGGTGTCTGCTGTGGTAGAGCAACACTTTCATAACAATGTGTCTTCTCAACGGCCCTATTAGATGGGGAGGGCAGGAGGAATCCTTCAAGTCTTGTTGACTTGAGTTGGGGATGGTGTGAGGAGGGATGAGAAGAAAGGAAGAGAAGATGATTCTTGAAGTTAATTGCCAACTATTCTTAGGGCAGTTATTGGAATAATTTCCAAGTCTCTCTGTTTAAGTGTTGGACTGAAATTAAAAAAAAAGAAGTCCTTGGTTGAATCTAATCTCTTTGAGCTTCTGTTTTATTCAAGTAGGAATTGTTGTCTTCAAGGGAAGAAACACCCAGCCGCACAGGATTGTGGTGTGAATTAAACAAGAGTTCAAGATTGTGCTCTACGCTGAAATTTGACACAACATTGTAAAATGATTATAAATCAATAAAAAAAGTTAAAAAAAAAAAGAGTTCAAGGTGCCTAGGACGGCAGTTGGAATGTAGTTGGTTCTTTTTCTTTTCATCGGTTTGTTCATCTGTTTATCTGCAGGTTCTTTGGAAGATAATTACTTTCCTTCCTTTATTTGAGATATGCGTTTAGCAACAGTTTCTCTGCCTCTTGCTACCCAGTCCCACAAGTAGTACCTCTGAGTCCCCAGAATCTAAGAATGCTTTCCATGCCAGATCAGCCGGAGGCCAAGCTGACGGGGGCATCAGTCCCGTGGACAGTGACATCAGCACCCGCAGCCACCACGATCATTCGACAGACTTTTTAAGCTTGACTCAAACAAGCTTGTGTGTATGTTTCCTCCACAGGTGGATTTGCCATCGTGTTTCTGGTGAGGACAAGCAACGGAATGAAATGTGCCTTGAAACGCATGTTTGTCAACAATGAGCATGATCTCCAGGTGTGCAAGAGAGAAATCCAGATAATGGTAAGACTGCCCCTCAGACTTGGGACTGCTTGTTTAAAATGGGGAGGTGGGGAGACCGTGCCTTCTCACCCGAAAGCGAAGGAGGGCTTGTCCCCTCCCCTCATGCGGCAGGGAGGCCTCTGCACGAGATGGCAGCGAACCCCGCTGGGGTGTGAGTGCTCCTGCCTCGGTCACTCTCAGCTTGAGAGCTGAGGAGAGAGGAGCATACTGAGAAACTGGACCAATTTTTAGGTCAGAGGAATAATTTGAGGCATTGGGAAAAGTTTACTTAACAACTTGGTTCCCAGAATTAACAGCAGAGTTTAATCTGGAAACCCTAGTTTCCCAGTGAACTTCTTCTTTTAGTCTTACTTCTGTCAGTCACCAGTCCTAGTTTTCAACCCTCTTGAGCTGTGCACATTCTCTGGACATACTCTTCCACACTTTATATTTTGTACATATAGCTCTTTCCACCTGGAATGCGTTTCCTTTTTTTTTGTTTGTTTTTTGTTTTGCCTAGAAAGCTCTCACTCATACATACTCTATGATTCCATTTATAAAAGTCCAATAACAGGTAAAAACGATCTCTGGTAATAGAGATCAGAAAGTAGCTGGCTGGGTGTGGGAAACTGACTAAAAGGAGCACATGGGAACTTTCCAGGCCATGAAGTGTTGTCTGTCTTGTTTTGGGTAGTGGTTACACAGGGCTCTCCAGTTGTCTGAACTCAATTGAACAACTTAAGATCTATGCACTTTATTGTATATTGATTCTACCTCACATCTTAAAAACTTAATCAGTTTTCAAGATTTAGACTCATATTATGTTTTAAAAAGACTTCCTATCTGTTAGATATGTGATGAAGTATTTATGAATGAAATAATAGGATGTCTTGAAATTAAATGAGTGGATTTAGAAGAGAAACAAGACTGGCAATGAGCTGACTGTGACCGAAGCAGGGTGATGGGTATATGGGTGTTTGTTAGAGCTATCTCTTCTTTTCACTTCTGTTTGACATTATGTTTAACAGATTTTTTTCATGCCTTTGTGTTTCCGCCATACTTTTGTTTTTGCCAACTATATGGCTTATCTTGTTATTTTAGAAGTAACTCTGCCTTCAGAAAGTAAGGTATTTAAAATCAGAAACTTTGTATTCTAGCACACTGCTTGACATGGAGTAAATTCTTAGTAAACTTCGGATGAAATGAATGTGTGAATGATGGTCATAGCAGATGTTCACATAAAGGAGAGGGTTCCTTTGTGCCCTGCACTTTAATGTGCTTGTAAAGAGCAGAAAGAGGTCCCCAAAATGGCGTTGCAGGGGTCCTACCAGGCTTTGCTCATCCTGTGGGGTTTGCCCTTTCGGTGCTAGTTAGAGTAACTAGTTGTGCGGGCTACTGAAACAACTCAGGATTTTTGAGAGCCTGGTACCGTGTAGGTTCCAGAAGGTTGAAGCTATTTGAGAAGGAACTGTTGGTAAAAATAAGTATTGCTGTCATCCTTGCACAGCAAACGACCCCCACCAAGGGTTGTGTACATACAATCAGAGCCACGTGGATCTGTCCACACCAGTGCCCTCCCACTCCCCTCCCACTCAGCTCCAAAGGACCTTGCTCACTGTCTCGCCCTTCCTCCACCCACTGTGTTTTCTGGATCCTTATTCGTCCTCCTCCCACCTTGCGCCTTCCTTGCTTGTCTCTCTCACTTCGTTTCCTGTCTTTGCAGCTGTTTGCTTTGCCTGGAATGCCCTTCTCATTCATTTCCTTTGTTATGAAAGTAACCCCACTCCTTAACTTTCTCCCACTCATTCAGAAACACGTTCGAGGGCTTACTTTGTGCTGGGCAGGTGTTGGCGTAAAGGAAATAAGACGTGGGCCCCTGAGGAGCTCACAAATTAATGGACCTGATTAGGAATTAAATTACATGGTTCCAGGTCTGGCCCAGCCACATATATTAGCCGTGAGAGTTTGACTTTGTTTTGTTTCTTAGTTTATATTTCTTAAAACTTAAATACTCTTACATCTGAAGTATGTGTAGTTTACTGTACAGGAACTGTGGCAAAATAAAGGTGTTTAAAAAAAACATTAAAAGTAATTGTCAAATTAAAAAAAAACTTAAATACTCAAATAGTTGAACTAAGCGTATCACCAAAAACGTCAAGCAATTCCCTGAGGGGTCCTCCTATGCCATTTCAAGGTCCCAGAGGCCACCTCTTTTAATTGAATCATTTGATCTATTTCTGAATAACAGGCTGATACTGCTAATTCTTTTTTCCCCTCCATTTTAGGCATTATATACTATGGCAAGTAAAAAATTATCTCTCTTTTATCCCCTGTAAGTCCTTCCCCTCAATTACTTGCATTATTCTCACCTCTCTTTTTTTTTTCAAAATAGCAGTCAATTGGGCAATATGTTAGTTATATTAGTGTCCGTTTTTACATTATTATGTAAAAAAAATTATTGCTGAACCTCCTATGATTACTGTTCCTTTCTTATATAATTCTTTTTTTCCACTGGCATTAATAATTGTCTTGGGTGGTTGGTTTTGTTTTTTTAAAATCTTAGTTTCCTGTGTACTTTTCAGTAGTTTAATCTCAGACTCTCAAGTTGTTTGAGTCGTTCTTTTGAATACTTGCAAGCACATTGAATACGCTTCCTTGTCTGTTTTATCTTCTTGAAGAAATCTCTCAGTCTTCGGGCTTGATGGAATCTGGGTTGGTTGCTCTCTGGGCCTGATTTACTGTCTTATCTAGGAATTTTCTAGCCATTCTCTTTGCTACTTTTTCTTGCTAGATTTGTTGCCTCCTCCTTTTGCTCACTTCCTCCCTTTGAGTGGGGCTTAGCCTCTAGGAGCTTCCTGACGTATGGCAGGTAAATTTTTGAGGCCTTGCAGGTCTGAAAGGGTCTTCATTATACACTCATATCTGTGACAGCTTGAGTACAAAGTTCTGGATTGAAAACCATTTCACTGAGATGTGTGAAAGCATCACTGTACTGGATTCTAACTTTCCTTGTTGGGCTTTGGGAAGTCCGGAGTCAGTCATTCTGATAACCTGCTCCTGTGGCTGTGACCCATTTTTTCTTCCCAGAAATTTATAAATTTTTCTTGGTTTACAGTGTTCTGAAGTTTGTTGATGACATACATTGATGTGTGCATCTATTATTTATCATGTTAGATGTTTGGTGGTCCCGTTTAATCTAGCAACTCATATTTGTATGTGTGGAATTTTAGTTTGTCTCATTCGATGATTTTCTTTTCTGTCTTCCTTTGTCTGAAATTACTAGTAGTATTTGGATGTTAGTTCTCCTGAACTGATTTTCTAATTTTTTTTCCCTTTTATCTTTCATTTCCTTGTCTTTTCCCTCCACCTTCCAGCGGATTTCCTCAGCTTTATATTCAACCATCCTGTTGAACTTTTTATATATCAGGCCTTTTAATTTCTAAGACCTTGTTGGTTTATTTTTGTTTTGTTGTGTTTTGGACTTTGTTGAAGTCCAGTTTATTAGCTTTTCCTTTTGTGGATTCTATTTTGGTGTCATTTCTAAGGACTCTGCTTCATTCTGAATTCTAAAGATTTTCTCCTTTTTTTTCTTTCTGTAAGTTTTACATTTTGCATTTAAGTTTGTGATCCTTGACTTAACTTTCTATAAGGTGTGTTACTTGGGTAGAAGTCTACTTTGTTGCTTGTGGGTGTCCATTTGTCTTTCCTCCATTGAATATTTTTGTCCAAAATCAACTGGGCATATTTGTGAGGTTTCATTTCCAAACCTTTCTCTGTCCCTCCACCAATACCACACAGCCTTATTCCTGTAGCTTTATAATAAGTCTTGAAATCAGACTGATTCCTCCTCCTTTTTTTCCTAAAGTTATTTATAACTATTTTAGTTCTTTCGTCTTTTCATATAAATTTTATAATAATCTTATCTAGATCTACAGAATGTCTAGCTAGAGTTTTGGTAGGAATTTCATTAAACCTGTATATCAATTTGGGGAGAAATGGCATCTTTTCTGTGTTTAGTCTTCCAATAATTTTGTATTCTGTAACCTTGTTGAACCTTACTGGTTCTGGGAATTTTTTTTTTTAATGGCTATCCTTCAGATTGTCTGCAAATAGAGGCAGTTTTATTTTTTTCCTTTCTGATCTGCTTCCTTTTATTGCCTTTTCTAAGCTTATTGCACTTTTCCCTCATTTATTTATTCAATTATCTATTTATATCAGTATGGACTCATGGGTATTTATTTTTTTCCCTTCAATCTGTTTGTTATCTTTGGTTCACACTGGGTTATTCCTATTGCTTTATCTTTCAGTTCACTGACTCTTGCGTCTGTCCCTTCCATTCTGCTGATGAGCACATCCATTGTGCTTTTTGCTTTGGTTATTGTATTTTTCAGTTCTAAAATTGCCATTCGGTTCTTCTTCTGGTTTTCTGCGTTTTTTTGTTGAAACTTCCTGTTTCTTTGCTGAGGCTTTCTATTCATTGGTCTCAAGCATGTTTGTAATTGCTGGTCTAAGCATTTTTGTCATGACTGCTTTAAAATCATAGCTGGATAATTCTCTCATCTCTGTCATTTTCACATTGGGATCCATTGATCATGGTCTTTCTTTTGTTTAGTTTGAGATCTTCCTAGTTCTTGGTATGACAAATAACTATTGACATTTTCACATTGTGTTATGAGATTCTGGATCTTTAATATAAACCTTCTGTGTTTACTGGCTTCTGCTCTGGCAGGGGTTGGTGGGGGTTGAAGGGTACCTCCTTGTTACTGCTAGGTGGGATGGAAGTTCAGGTTTCCCATGGGGCCTCTGTTTTCACTGCAGAGGGTGCATCTCATTTCTACTGGATTAGGCTGAAAGCTCCAGGTCCCCATTAGGCTCCTGCTAATCCTTCCCCTGGTGGGAAGGTGAGAATGCCTCGGTATTGCTTCCTATATGGCTCCCATTGACACCACAGGGGTGGGAGTTGGCCTCATTACACCTTGGTGGTTGTGGAAGTCTTAACTCTCCAGTTGGCCTCCTCTCGC